GTTTCCACTATTTTCTATGATTTCCGTCATTTCAAATATTCATGATGCCTTCAAAATACATTTTTTACTGTTTCGGGAAAGAGAATAGAAAATACGAAATATTGCTGACCTTTATTGCTAAAGTAACCGAGGTTCACTTGTCATGGAAACACCCCCGTATCTTTCGTGATATTCGAGGTAGAATGATGAAACTCTCTGGACTGATGGAAATGCTCAAAATGCACCTACCACCTGAATTGGGTTGATCAAAGTGATATACACTGTCCGCCACTCGCGATAGAACACCCCATTTTTACGGTAAAACATATTAGGGGGCAAAATAGGCTCAAAATTCCTTCAGATTCGTGATCAGGACTACCAACTCACTACGAATACACTTTTTTCCTGAAAAAATGTCAGTCCTGAAAAATCCGAATTTGTCTCACTTCTTATGGAAACACCCCCGTATCTTCCGTAATATTCGAAGTGGAACGATGAAACTCTCAGAACTGATGAAAATGCTCAAAATACACCTACCACCTGAATGGGGTTGGCCAAAGTGATATACAGTGTCCGCCACTTGCGATGGAACACCCCATTTTTAGGTAAAACATATTACGTTACGGCGCAAAATAGTTCGCTTCCAATACCTGAACCTCTTCTTTCTATCTGGAGAGTACTCACACGTATGAAAGATACAGATGCTGTGAGAAGTTATCATATATTTTGAGCCTATCTGAGGAAAATATCACAGCACCACATTCTCAGATTATCGAGATAGTGTGAAGCAGTGTATGAAAAATTATCGATGGCGGAATCTATAACTAATTCTGGTTGCTGAACATCCAAATTATATCCCAACCAGAAGTGAGAGCTCTCGATTGATGAGCAAAAACTGCAAAAATTATCCCAGAATATTTTGCCGGGCAGATAAACTACCCCCAGACACCTTTATATGTTTTCAAAATTAAATTCAATAACACCATCAAAATATTCGTGGATGGTGATTTTTCCTGCATATTTATATACTATAAGAGGTGCTGAATGGAATATATATCTCCAAATATTTTGCCGGGCAGAAACGCAATCCCCACACACCCTTATATGTTTTCAAAATTGAATTCAACAACTCCATTGAAATATTCGTGGATGGGGATTTTTCATCATACATACATACTATAAGAGATGCTGATTGAGACCTATATCTCGAAATATTTTGCCGGGCAGAAACGCACCCCACACACACCCCCATATGATTTTAAAACGAAATTCAATATCTCCATCAAAATATTCGTGGATGGTGATTTTTTTTGCATAATTACATACTTCAAGAGGTGCTGAATGAGACCTGTATCTCAAAATATTCTGTCGGGCAGAAACGCAACCTCAACCAGGCAGAAAAACAACCCCCAAACAACCTTATATGTTTTCAGAATTCAATACAATAACTCCATCAAAATATTCGCGGATGGGGATTTTTTTCTGCATAATTATATACTATAAGAGGTGCTGAATGGGATATATATCTCAAAATATTTCACCGGGCAGAAACGCAATCCCCACACACCCATATATGTTTTCAAAATGAAATTTAATAAATCAAAATATTCGTAGATGGTAATTTTTCTGCATAATTACATACTATAAGAGGTGCTGAATGAGAGCTTCATCTCAAAATATTCTGTCGGGCAGAAACGCAACCTCAACACACCCTCATATGATTTTAAAATTAAATTCAATAACTCCATTGAGATTTTCGTGGATGGGGATTTTTTTTTGCATAATTACGTACTATAAGAAGTTCTGAATGAGACCTGTATCTCAAAATATTTTGCCGAGCAGAAACGCAATCCCCACACACCTTTATATGTTTTCAAAATTGAATTCAATACCTCCATCCAAATATTCGTGGATGGGGATTTTTTTCTGCATACTTACATACTATAAGAGGTGCTGAATGAGACCTGTATCTCAAAATATTTTGTCGGGCAGAAACGCAACCCCCACACACCCCTTTATATTTTCAAAATTGAATTGAATAACTCTATCAAAATATTCGCGGATGGGGATTTTTTTTGCATGATTACATACTATAAGAAGTGCTGAATGAAACTTGTATCTCCAGATATTTTGCCAGGCAGAAAAGCAAACCCCACGCACTTTACATGCTTTTAAACGATAATTCCATAATTCCATCAAAATATTCGTGGATGGGGATTTCTTTTTCCATAAATACATACTATGAGAGGTGATGAATGAGACCTGTATCTCAAAATAATTTGCCAGGCAGAAACGCAACCCCCACACACCCTTATATGTTTTCAAAATTGAATTCAATAACTCCATTGAAATATTCGTGGAGGGGATTTTTCCTGCATAACTACATACCATAAGAGGTACTGAAGGAGACATGTATCACAAAATAATTTGCTGGGCAGAAAAACAACCCCCACGCACCCTTACATGTATTTAAATGAAAGTTTAATAATTCCATCAAAATAATCGTGGGTGGGATTTTTTTTTGCATGTTTACATACTATAAGAGGTGCTGAATGGGACCTATATCTCAGAATATTCTGCGGGCAGAAACGCAACCCCCAAACACCCTCATATGATTTTAAAATGAAATTCAATAACTCCATTAAAATATTAGTGTATGGGGATTTTGTTTGCATAATTACATATTATAAGAAGTGCTGAATGAGACCTTAATCTCAGAATATTTTGCCTGGCAGAAAAACAATCCTCACGCACCTTTACAGGTTTTCAAACGAAAATTTAATATAATTTCATCAAAATATTCTAGGATGGGGATTTTTTTTCATAATTACATACTATAAGAGTTGCCTAAGAAGACCTTCATCTCAGAATATTTTGCCGTACAGAAAAACAACCATCACGCACCTTTACATGTTTTTAAACGGAAATTTAATAATTTCATCAAAATATTCGAGGATGTTGATTTTTTCGCATAATTACATACTATAAGAGGTGCTGAATGAGACCTATATCTCAAAATATTTTGCCGGGCATAGACGCAACCCCCACACACCATCATATGATTTCGAAATTGAATTCAATAACTCCATCAAAATATTCGTGGTTGGGGATTTTTTT